TTTTGATGGAGATAATCATAATTAAAAAATAACAATAAATTTATAAAATTCTTAAAGAATAATAATTGTATTGTTTGGAATAAAATATAATAAAATTCAGTATATGAATAACATTGTTTTTTATTATAACGGTAAAATTTCCCAAGAGCAATAATTTTGAAGAGCGGGTTCTCAAGAGTGGCACTTTTAGACTAAAACTAAAAATACAGTTTTCTATCGAGCGGTAATTAACATTTGATAGGCTAAAAATGCCCGCTCTAGAGAGAACAATAATTACCATACTCTCCTGCTTTTGAAAAGTTTTACCTTATTTAGTTGATTAAATTTTTTTAAATTTGTTGAACCTAATACTATAAAACATATAAAACATTTATAACAATTAAATTTAAAAGAACACACTTTCAATATTTTTAATATGAATAATTATTATATTCATAATAATTACAACAAATCATTTTGGAACACCAAAACTTCAATTTTTATTATTTGTTTTATAATTAACATTTTAATAGTCAACTCGATAATTAATAATATTATATTTTTCTAAAATTTTGAATAATTACAGTTGTTTACCTTTTATGATTAATTAAGTATACAATTGAATAATTTTATTTGGTTGTTATGGTTTGTCACATGTTGTTTCTAATATCATAACAAAAAATAAAAAAATGGATTGTCTTTATTAAAAACCAAATAATACAACAAACACCTTTTTTATAGACAAAAAACAGTTAATGTTAAATCCCTTTTTCAATTGGTATAAAATCCAAGATGAATACATTTTTTTATTGAGATAATAAACAGTTTTTAGCACATTCTTTTATTTAATAATATTTGATTTTTTAAAAAAGAATAAAGAAATATGTGAAAATTTAATGGCATTTTAATATTAATAATAACAAAATCACGTTTTGATAGTATGTTGTCAATATATAATAAAAAACATAAAAAATAACTTTTTCATCATTTTTATAAATGTTTAATGTTCAAACTTTAAATAAGTTTTACACTATTAATAACATTAATAAACCAATAAAAGAGTAAATTATAAAACAAACAACAAAAACCAATTTATACTTATATTTATTGTTTATTCTTAAGAAGTCTAAATTCATTAATATGGAATATTAATTTTTTATTTTATACAATATATATCTAATTAATAATAATTTGGAAATAAAGAGTAGTGTTTGTTTTTTAATTCTGTCCTTTCACTAAATGTTGTTTATTCAACAACAACTTTTTCAAAATATTATGAAATGGGTTAAAAAACCAAAAAAGGTAAAAATAATCTGAAACAATGATTTATTTACATTACGATAATTCTTATGATATATTCAGTTTTTAACATTTAAAAACCAAAGGATAACATTGGAGAAAGGACAATGTTAAGAGAATGACTACAACTTTTAATCATTGATAGTTCATAACAACTAAATATTTTCGATTAAAAACTAACCATTGATTTTGAAATTTGAAGTTATAATGAATATAAAAACAAACATGAAAACCAATTATATTAATAAATTAAAAATTATAAATAAATTAAAAAAGCTATTTAAACACAAATTTAAAAAACATTGAAAATATTTTAAAATTGAAATGGACACCCAAATAATAGTAAAAATGTTTTCTTTGTTTTTCATAAAATGAAAATAAAA